TCCCCACACACCTGGGGGAGCCTGCACAGGGGAAGCCCACCCTCACACCTAGTGAAGGGGCTCCTCTTGACCCAGTCGGGAATCTTACTTGAGACTGTCAGTCTGGGGGAGCCCACCAGCAAGAAAGGGAGCAGAAACCTCTTCTTAGTCTTCACACTGGGCAAGTAACAGAAGCCACCTCCCTGCTCTTCATTACTGTGGTATCTTAGCATCTTAAATTCACTGATATGGCTCTTTGCTTATGATGCTCTTACTGGAAAATTCCCATCTTACAGGTGAAAAAGTGAAACTCAAGACTCACAAAACTTAATCCTAGCTCCTAAACAGTCTGGCATTCAGGTGGACAGGCATCTAATACCAATACCTGACCCTTCACAACAGGTCATGTTTGCTTTCATGCAGGTGTTATCTGAAAGACATTTACTTATTCAAAGCAGAATTCCTAATTAGGCCTTTGTAGGGCTAGTCTTCCATTTTCTCATAAGGACATTGACTCAGGAATTAAGTTACACCTCAGAGACTTGTCCCACAGTTTGCAGCTCTCTACAAGACAGGATCTGCAACAGGGCCCTGGTTGCCAAAAAAAAAACCCCAAAACATTCTCTGCACTGTTTGCTGGTTTATCTATATGGGAAAGACATCTGGAATTAATGATAGTGGAGTGGCTTCCTTAGTGGACAGTTCCTCAGACCCCGCCAGTTAAACTGTGACTATTCCTCCTGAGTAGAGAAACTTCCTGAAGCTCTTGCAACACAATTACTTTGTCACAGGTTAAAGCTCTCCATGTTTGCCTAAGGGAAACACATCCCTTCCAACTGCTTCACCTCCCCTGCATCACAAGTAACTGATGAAAGCTTGGGATGAGGAGGAGGAGAAATTAGGATAAAGTAATGGAGAAAGAAAGGGGCTGAAACATGTATTTCTGGCAGAGGAGCAAGGAACTGCTCATGGCAAGACAGAATATGTAAACAGAAGAAAACAAACACAAACATAAATCAAGATTAACACAGAATTATTCTGTCCCCATGCAATGTTGGCAGTGTGCTGAGCTGTGAGATAGAGCTATACCACTTTGCCTTCAACTCAGGCACCAAAAAGCCCAGGTTTTGTATCTCATGGCCAAAAATTCAGTCCTAGACACATTCTGCTCTATAGCTGATGGAAGACAAAAATAAGGAAGGCATATCAACTGAGAGGTGAGTTGAAGAAAAGGGCTTTCCTTATAGTGGATGTACCTCTGCAGACTAGAAGTACAGCCCCACCCTACATGTACAGAGTTAGGAATGACCTCCTCTCTCCCCCAGCTACACCAAACACTTTCAATGCATCCAGCCTTGGAGGACACTAGGAAGGTCACTCTCACCCAAGCCTATGGCCACAAACCCTTTGAATTTAGCACTATAGCACTGCTACAAGCACTTCACATTAAAGAGCAGCTGCTGAACAGCATGACTGTAGGACACAGAGGGACTCTCCAGATAAGCTTTTAGTGGTGTAAACTTGAAATAAAATTTGTCACAGAAGTAAGGAGGACCATAGAAAACAGTTTTAATCACGCTCTGTCAGAATGTGCTCCAAAACTTACTTCTATCAAGTCACTGTGACAAACTTTTTTCTTAAAAACAATCAAAACATACAGAGTACTCTCAAATCTCAGTTTACAAAATCTTATGCTCTGAATGAGATGGGCTAAACTCAAGAATTAAGTAGCCTGAAACTCAAGGAAACTTGTTAGAAATTATTTTCCGTATAAACAAGGCAGCTCTTCTTCAAAAGACTCAGGAACTCTAGGATTTTATTTTAAAGCCACATTTGAAGTGTGTTTCAAAGAACGCATTCCATATGGTTTTTAAATCTGAATGTGTCTGCTATTATTAATTTGGGATCCTCAGCAGCTTTGAGGAGTTTTCTGTTTTATTTTAAGAAGCCTTTGCTGTTGACCTTTAAGCACAGTTCATGTGCTTGCATCAACACGTAAGAAGGTACCCTCAACCCTTTTTATTTATGTTTCTTCAGTACATCAGCAAAGATTACAGTGTGGTTAAGCCCCCCCTTTTATCTTTGCATAATTCTTTTTTACACCATATCAACCTTCTCCAGGGCTGGATATTTGCATATTAATAATGAAGGCTGCTTTTTAATTCCTCCCTTTAGCTTAATATATTAAATAGTGTTGATAGATAAGACTTGGCTCTCAAATTAGTGGTGGTAGCAAAGCAGAGTTCAAATTATTCAATTAAAACAGAGACAGCTATGTTTATTGTCCTCCCACATTTGAATTAAGCTGTAATCTCACTCAGAGAAAATGCCCTGCTCTGATTCTGATGGAGAAGATGTAAGTTTGATTATTTCCCCAGACTGACTAAAAACCATTTGGAAACAATGGTTTGAATGTCTTCAATGTTTCACAGGTATTGACATTCCTATAAATTCTTTGCAAAGTGCAGAGAAACTGAGGATGCAGCTCCATGATTCTTTAAGAAAATTTATGTGTGGGTTGCAGTCAGAATGAACAAGCATGCCCTCTTTTACCCCATCATCTCTCCCCCATGTCCCCATTGTGTTGGAACTACTAGTCCTGCAGCTGCACGGTTAGAAGTGCCAAGGAATAAATCTATTTACAAACTAATACTCCACCCTTTTTTTTTTCCTGCCAGGTCATTTCCTACTGCACAGTTGTTTAACTTCTAATGTGAGCAGAATGAAACCTGGTGGCAAGACATGGTTGCAATGGGAGAAAAAAACCACTTCTGACAGTGTTTACTACTTCAGTCAGCTCAGAGAAGTGACCACAGCATAAGAATCTGCCCATGCATCTTGTACTACAAAGCAGGCATAGCCATGCTAGCTTTAGTCTGCTGCATTTCAGTGTTAAGGCAGAGAGCTCAGGTCAGACTGATTGCCCAGGATGTACCCATGTTCTTGTGTAGTTTTAATCCACAGATAGGAGAAATCAACACTTAATTGCACATCTTTCCAACTCTGCAAACAGCAGTGCTTCTCTTCCACAGGGCTTAAGCCAGCTCTCACTGACATCCGAGCAGCCTTTACACTGACACTGATGGAACGAGATCAAATCTGCAGCATGTGAAAAGAGCAACAAACAGAAGCTGCTGTATTCCCCCTTGCACTGCTGTAGTCTCCCTGCCCACTTCCACATCCTCATGATTTCATTTTATGGTTCTATGGTATCTCATAAAATCCCAGTTCCTGGAATCAGTGTAAGAGAAACAGTAACCAAAATGTTATCTGATAGTTTTGCAGAGAAGTTTAGAGGTGCAGAAAAATAACATATTAATTAGGACAATACTACCCCACAAACAGACAAACAAAAAAATAAAAAAGGAAATCCATCCCTACCTTTATGCCATTCTGATGGTTTTATTTTTAAAATATTGGGATTTTAAATTATTTATTATTTTAATACTTAAAGATGTTTGATCTGAAACTATTTCAAGAGACTGGCAAAGCATGAGCAAAAAAAGAAGCCAAATTTGCACTGATACCCGCAGTGCTGACAATACCATGCCCTAAAGATAGTTGTTGCTAGAAACATATAGCATTTGTCTTGACTGTCTCTTTTTTCCTCAGAGTATTTCTTGGGTGCACATTGCAAAGCTGTAAAATACACACTATAAAGTCCACTACAAATGGCCACAGAAATACCAACTCATATTCTGAGACTTGTGATGGAAGACTTGCACTGAGCTTAGAGACTAAAAGACTTTGCACTGTGGACTGGAATTCAGAGTGAAAGCAAAACAAGCACGTATTCATGCCTGAGGAGAAATCACGGTAGACCCGTTTCTACTAAAGAAGAGGGCCTGTTCTGCTCACAGCACAACAGCATCACATGCAACCTCTCAGATCAGATACAAGCTAACTTTTGTACATACACCCTTTCTGCTAAGTGAAAGAAGGATCTAGGAAAAAATTGCATCAGTAGAGATTTTATCTCCTCCAGACAAAGCAAATGCAGCTACACAGAGACTCCAAATTTCAAGAGTCACTTAAAAGAAAAAGGAAAAAAAAACCCAAACCCAAACCAAAAACCAACAAGATAAAAGCGACTAACAAACATCCAGTCTTCTTAGTGACTTTGTGGTATTTGAGCCTCCCTCAATTGCATCAAGGTCACTTTTCTCACCCCTACATCCAGGAAAACTAGTAACTTCATTTCTGCAAAAGTAATTGTATTACCTAACCCTTATCTGGCACTTTTTTATCTGTACCCCTCAAAAGAGGTCGACAGCACTATCTTCATATGATAACACTATTTACATGAACTCCATCAGTAGCATGCAGGTGACTTCAAAGCCCAGTGTCCAGTACCAAGCCAGCAGCTGCTGCCACCAGCATGAACTCAGAAGAAAATATCTGTAAACCCTTGTTCTGTGCTAAACCACATAAACAACTCCTATCTAATCTACTGACTTGAGAATTCAAAGATTGTAGTATAATATCAATACCTAGAGTCTGGATTTTTTGTTCATTTTAACTACGGGAATTGTCAGCAGCTGTGTTACCTTACAGGTGTTCACTCAGTCTGACCCTGTTCTTCCTCAGGCTACACCCCCCACTAAAGCCAGTGGAAGCTTTGCCTTCTGAATGGGCCCTACATCAACTAGATTAGAAGTTTTGCTGCCTCTGGCTGGTATGGATGTTCAAGATGGGCATTTGCCCTTATGGAAGAAAACTGAGATAACTGGATAGACCCCCTCATGTCCATAAGGATACAAAAGGTCCACAGAATAATCTGCTGTGAAGAACTGAGTATTGACAATAGCAATATGTTTGTTATCATCACCCATTTCTGAGTCAGTTATACAGTCTGAATGTGCCTTTGCCTTCCATTCCTGTCCACTCCCTGGCAGGGAGGGGGGGGTGGATCAACCCAATCTCCTTGCTTCAAAACACTCCAGACAATCAAGAGCTTATCTAGACATCTCAGTGATTTTACAGTGTTACACATATCCTAGTATCACAAGAATATGTTTTACCTTGAGGCAAATGTTTTAATTTATGTGCATGTGAGCTATTTGCAATACCTCCACCAAATGGAGCCCATATAACCCGTCGGATGGCTTTTACCCAATCTTCCATTTCATTCTGGGAATTAGCCATGAGCAGGAAAGCCTCATGATTGACAGGCATCTTTTCCCGGTCCCCCGCACCACCTGAAAGACAGAATACAAATCTCTTTTAATATCTATTTCAGAGGAATGATCAAATTATTATTTTATTTGAGCAGTTTTACACACAACTCCTACACAGGTGCTGCAGCACCCACAAAGCACAGGTTGATAGAAGATCAAAGTGGAAGTGCAAAAAGGACATTTCCAGTGTGGGAACCTGGATATGTTGTATCTGCTGTCTCAGCAATAAGAAAGTGAAAGCACAGGCTCTAAGACCCCAGAGGAAAAGTACAAAATTAATTCCAAATAATACCTGAGCTGAGGTATTGAGAGATTATTACCCAGGAAGGGGACCAAAGGAATTGTAAGACATTTTAATGCTTCAGGTGCAGAAATCACAAGGTTATCCACTTACCCCAAGTCCTTGGGAATTTCTAGTCTCAATACAAAGAAAGGGACCCATTCTGCTTTTGAATCCAATTCAGAAGAAAGTTAAGACCTGGGAACATGAATCTGACTCTTCCACTTGACATAAGAACTTCAGAAGCTACTAACACTGGCATGCCACACCTCAGAAAAGTACTGACCAGAATATCAAACCCACTCAGCTGTCACATGTATGTGTCACTTGTGGATACTTCAAGACTTGAAACATTTTCACCCTTCTTTTCTTGTTTCCATTTTTAGGTCATCACTCACTTCAGTTAATTTAAATCTTCCCCTCACCCCTCATTTTATGTTCCAGAGCTGGATACAACCTATGAGTGAGTACCATATAAATGCACAAAAGCTTTGTGAAAGCAGCCTCTGTATGAAAAGGCTACTGATCCCGTCCAACACAGCAGCTGCATCACCAGGGGCCTGGAGCTTCTCCATCACCATGGAAACTGCCTTTGGCTTTGCTAAGGAGATAACATCTGAGCCCTTGTGTCACTGTCATTTCCACACTTACATGGATTTCAGCACCTACTGGAAGCTAAAGTTGCCAGCCCGTGCTGAGCAGCTGAGATTGCCTGTCCATGGAATTCAGAGATAAGAGCAGGATGATGGTATGCTTTGGTTTCTGCAGAGCTGGTTTAGCATACATAGAATGTGTGCTTCTTAAATCCTCTCTAATCTGGGTAAAGGAGCAAGCTGGGAGCTGCCTGCAAGCCAAGGAAGTACTTTTTCTTGCTATAATTGTTTTCTGGCCTCGACACACTCAGAAGCATATGCTGATTTGCAAAGCAAAAGTGGTAAAATGAGATATGCTGGGAAGTATTTTGTGGCTCTCCAAGAAGTTATTCACTGAACTGGGAAATTGAGGCGGTCTTTCAGTAAAGAGGAGAAACAACGGCCACTTGAGACTAGGCATTCAGCTTAAGAAACAAAAGCCATGATGTTTTATCCCCTGTGTATCCAAATTCTGCTTTTTTTTCCTCATAATATCCTCTTGGACAGTCTCCCATTTTGAATTTACTGAATTATTCATATTGTTTAAGATATATAAAGCAGAACAGCTCTCTAGCTCAAGGCTAGGATGCAGGCATCTGAACAGATCAATGTTCCACCTTACTCCGCTGCAAGGATGACATACTTCATCCTCTGCATACAGAACTGTCAGAGCAGGAAATTACAGTCTGCGAAACTCTTGTTACTGCCTAAATCTTTTACCAGCATACTCAGCCTGAAAGCAGAGGTACCTTACCCAGCAGACTGTGCCTTTTTTCACTATCACATATTTTATAGGAGGTATGATAGTAACAAAGAGGTTTTTCACAGCCCTCAACTCACAGAAGAAATGGGGTTCAGGATGTGGCATCTGTCAGATAAATGGTCACTAGCTCTTCAGTGGAACGAAACAGTCGCAAAAAAACAATTACTGTCTGGGTCACACCACCAGCAAACAACTAAGCTTGGTCAAGGTAAAACACACATATTGTCCTTAAGTTTAACAAGAGCAGCTGAGATCTTACCTACTTACACCACAAAGGGCAATAAGAGACCAGAATTAAATAACAAACTGCAAATTTAGTGGGAACAGCTGAACTAACCCATACAAAGACTGCCATAGGAAGTACAATAAGCAGACAAGGAAGACTTTTTACTGTACTTCTGCAGAAGTGGTGTCAGCATCTTCCCAAAGAATCACTGTACCATAAGGACCTGACTACAACTCCCCTTCCCCAAGATGTTATTTGACCAGCCAGCTGCTTTCTAAACCTTCATAGACATTTTTCATGCAAGCATTTAGTTAAAAAAAAAAAAACAAACTTCTATTTTAGTCTCTAAAATCTACAAACTGGATGGGAAAAAAAGATTCCTGTACACACCAGACCTGAGATTCTGCCAAAAACTACATATAGCTCCTCCATGTTTGGCTTTCCTCACTGAAACTTTAAATAGGAGCAAGGTCATGACCCTACAATTTGCCTGTGGGAGAGTCAGTAGTGACTAGACATGTAACTACAAGCAAATGAAGGCAACTCCACACATGGAGGCCAGCTTAGAAATAAGAATGTGCTTCAGAACTACTTCTTCAAGAAAGGATCATGTGTTAGTGTGATGTGAATATACAGTGGCAGAGCATGTAGACCCCATGTAGAAACGTTTTTCTTTTTTAGTGACATTTTACTCATTGAAGCAACAAGCAGAACTAGAGATCCCCAAAAGGCAGAATTTCGACATATACATTGTGGTAATATTCAACACATTTTGAGTCTTAGAAGTCATAAGAATAGGAAATGGTTAAATTCAAACACCTAAATCTTCTTAAAAAAAAAAAAAAAAACCCCAAGAAACAAAACCAAAAACAAACAAAAACAAACAAAACAAACAAAAACAATCCAAGAAAACAATGAACAATGTCACATGCACCTTCTTCAGAAGTCCAGAATTTCACCTGAAATTCATAGATGCTTTCTTTTCTGGGCTCAGGAAAGGATCTTTTTATGGATTTCAAGCTTCCATACAAACAAGACTGGGCCTCAGAGACCAATCCTGCATAGCTCAGGATTGCCATAGGTAGACATTCCAGTCCTTTTGCTGTAAGCTACTTTTGTCTCCAGACCAGAGTTAAAATACAACTGTCTGCAAACACAAACAGCGTGCAAGTACCTCAACAGATGTGGCAGAAACAGGGGACTTAACTTTGGGGATGAACAGTCCATCTGATTCAGCATTAGCCTATGACCACGGCATCCTGCATTCAGTTGCTTGCCTTGCTGCAGACTTGCAGTGCATGTTGTACAAGACGTACTGGATTCCATCCTTAAGCAAGCTGGCAGTGCTTTTTGCCTCCCATCTGGGTGTACAGAAACTGAACAACTTCAAGACTGGGAAAGGTGATGGCAACCATGTAAGCATATGCAGTAAACATAAAAGCCTAGAAAGATTAAGGGACTTGCTTTGTTACTGCTCACCATCAAAAGGGCTGCAGGTCCCAGCTGACTTCAACGCTTTGCCACCCCTGTCTTAAGGTATCTTTGTCAACGTGATTTACATACCCTGGTAGGTATCTTTGCCTGGAGGGAACAGAGCAGCTCTAGGCCCCCAGTTGCACTGCATGAATTCTCTCTTCCAGGTTTGGACTAGCTAAATCTGGCAGAACTGCTCTCCTTTGCACCTGCTTATGTGGTTTCTGCAATTGCATTTCATATGGTCTAGAAGCCACCTCCTGCTAATGTCAGCTATATAGCATTCACCTCAGAGTAATGTGCCATCTCCTAATCCTTAGAAAGTGTCCTCCTTTCAGCTCTCCCTTGTGCCCCACAACAGGGAAGGTTAAGTACTGAGACTGGGACTAAGTGACTTGCTGAAGGTCAGATGCAGGAGCGGGAATCACAATCTACACTTCAAAGCTCTTTTTACTGAAAATTCTTCTTTTTTTGACCATTCTTAGTCTGGTATGCATTCAATGGAAAGTGCAAAGTATAACGCTGCCATTAGGTTATATTTAGGTGTCCTGCCATGTGTTCCTGTTCAAAGAACCTGCAACAAACATTCAGTTGCATCTCTCCCTTTATACAGCTATTCCAATGAGGAAAAGTTTGAATTTTTTGTTTGCCTTGAACCTCATTCGCTCAAGCTTAACCTTCTTAAGATCATTCATGAAGCCAAGCCTTAGATCCCCTTTATCTGAGGGAGAAGTTCAGGAGGAACAGGACTAGACTTCCATGTTGAAGATGTTCCTGCCCCATTGCATATAAAAGGAAGAACTTTTATATTCTCAAGTAAAGATGCTGTTGGGTTCTGCTGAAGTTGGTAGTTTCTTTTTTTTTTTTTTTTTGCTTAGATAATTTCTCTTCCTTTTACCCCCGCCATCTGGTGTGCCTTTCACCCATTTCTTATGTCATTCTGCTTACTGATGTGTTTGTACGTTGTCATTACATCAACCCTACTGAAAAGTTACACAATTACAACAACTTGCGTATGTACATATATTTGCATGTTTGTATTATATATTACAAGCTTGTTTATATGTTTGTGTTGCTTTGGTGTGGATAGTAATTCCACTATTTTCAGTAAGCGTGAAATTTAGTTGGCTTTGTGCTGCTGCAGCGCACAGGGAGGCAAATGGCAGTTGAAGCCTAAATTGTGAAAGGGGTGGTTGGTGGGTAACACAAGGCCCAGCTGACGTGTTTGCCCTCAGTACTAAAGCAGGTAGAGACAGGAAGCCTTTGATTGCAGACAAGCAGCAACAAAGATCTTCACAAATGGACAAAAACCAGCACCCATAGCTGAACAGAACAATTGCAATGATTCATCTTCCCTGACTTGCTCTCTGCAATTGACTATGAGGTGAGTATCAGTATTCAGGGCTCAAAGATCTCCCTGATAATGAAAGAAGGTGAAAAATGAGATGAATTATGTCAAGATTAAGGGCTGCTCTATCAGGGGGAATCTTCCTGAACACATCGGGGGGGGTGGAAATAACACCAAAAAAGTCCCAAAACCCAGTCTTGATATTTGGGTTATGCAAAGAGACAAAAGAAGTATCAGTGAGTAAGCAAAAGTTCATTAAGATTGCTTGGAATAGACACTTGAAGACTAATTCCATTTCT